ACGCCTGATGTCAGGTGCCACATTTTCCTGTAACATTTGCAAGTTCAGCCACAACAAGGGACCTGGTGCTTGCTCAGCTAACCCGAGCGAGAAGCCACACCTTTTTTACAGCCGAGAGTCTCAAACAGGCCCAGTGAACTTCGACTGTGTGGCAGGAGTGTCATCAACACTCGGATGGACTGAACTTAACAACAAGAGCATTACAAAAAGTACAAGCCGGTAATCAGACAGTCTTGTTTAGGGTGAGAGATTTTAGGCGTCGCAGCTCGCGGAATATGATCCAATCAGATCGCGTCAGGGGTCAGAAGGAATTTACTTGCATAAGGTCACGGGTGAGAGGGACGAGACGCGCGACTACGATGAAGCATCCACCCTGTACATTTTTCAGGAAAATGATTTATTCGGTCAACAGGTGATACGCATGGAAATCCAGTGCACCGTTGCAAAATTGCCTCAAGTAACTCCTACTACTGTTCAAATTTCAGTAGTTTAACTCTGAATGGAATAATACCTGGCAGTCATTCTAAAGGCATCTGGTTAATCGTCGCCAGAACGTGACATGTGCGATAAAACCACAATAAATCACTGTCTTAACTTAAATAGTAAATCAGATGTCTAACACAGCTGTCACGCAGCCAAGAGATGTTTTAAAGAGTACTTCCAACGATAAGATTTTAAAACCCTTCAGTGTGGCAGAGACATTGCGAGAAAAAGTGACAACCGATTGGTTCTTAGTCGAATATTTAAGCCTGGTAATACACTAAAAAATAAAGAGGTCAAGTTGAATAGACACCGGTTTTTGTAGTGTGTTTTTACACGCATGAAACGGGCTGCCGTTGATCATATAGAAAGATCGGATGACGACGGTTTAATCTACTGTCCCTAATCTTAATGAGGAAAAACGCCTGAGTATAGCATCTATTTCTAACTAGGGTATACATAGCCAAAGTGAAGTAAGTGATCTCAAACACAGTGAAGAATAAAAATCTGATCCGTACAACTTAAACCGGACTAAATCTGAGACTAATGGTACGCTATGTGCGCGCTAGTTTTAGCACCTTCAAAGCTAAGGATGACCCCGTCTATTATCGGATTCTGCTAACAACAATCATCATCGTACAGCGAAATATAGTGAAGCGAACTGTTCCAGTAGCTGATAAGTTCACAATTCTTGTCAAATACGAAGATGTTAAGTATTTAAAGAGTGGACCTGTTTTGAGGGAAAGGAAAAAACTCTATGATGAACGCCCAAAGCTACCAGTCTAACAAAACATACACATCCTCCAGAATTTTTCAGTCAAATAAGAGGTGGCGACAAGAACACCTTCAACGAACCAACTTGGGTTCTCGCAATGGTTAATTCCTGACTATGAAGTGTTAGCACCAAGAAAGAAGACAACTCAAGTTGTAGCATTACTTTGTACTTTGAAACTGCAAACCGCATGTCCAAAGGGGCGAAAAAAATTGGCAGTCTGCCACGTGCGTTTTGCACGTCCCGTATTCACTTGAAGAGAGAAACGATATCGTCAGTGTAATCTGAATCGCAAAGCCTTTTTCTCTGGTTGTCTATTTAGTGCAAACAATTTAGGGATCACTTGGTGCGTCTTTATTATTTCGTCCAGAAGGAAAGTGAACTAGTTTTATTCAACCAATTATAGTCTATCTTGCACATGAAAAAAATTTCATACCAGAGGTTGAAATTTACCCACCTTAGAGTTTGTGCTCATCTGCGTATATTTAACCGATATGCTGTAGCAGATGACAACACAAGTGGAGGAATGGACAATGATGTAAAACAGATAGTGCAAGATAAAATGAGTTTTACCTTGTAACTGTTGTATGTATTGGGTATTTCAATATGGTTCGTCCTTTGTATTGTTGNTTGTTGTTAATTGTTATGGAATGTGTAATGGCCATTTATGGTGGCATACCTTTGAAGCCTTCGTGCCATTGGTTCGATTCTGAGCTATTTTACTGTTTTTAATCAGTGATGTTAATCAGCCCTCGGACCCCAACTGGATAGAAAGAAAGGACTGGCCGGGGCAGGTGCCATCGCTCACTCATTCATACCTCTACCCCAAGTCAAGGACTGACCGCTACGACCGGTCTCCCAGGCTCGTCCAGAGAAAACGGATCGTGTCAGAAGAGAGTAGGCAGGTATGTGCTACACGTGAGCTAGTCACCAGTACGGTGCAATGCAATCACCCCTGTTTCATGTATACCTATATATAGAACGAGAGAGAAGGTGGGCATTGAATGATAGTATTGATTGTAACGTTTCGATTCAGACTAGGACTCGTTTTCAAACAGTTGTGTGTGGGGGGGGGCGTGAAATGGGTCTGCATGCGTCTCGCGCCGTGGTATGTTGAGCACCATCATTCCTGTATTACTCATTGATTGTGCAATCGTTAGGTGATGTTTATCGATTTCGGCGTGGCGATGGAATGAACTGGTCGAATGAAAAGCTCCAAGAAGTTCCTATGTCCTCTTATGCCGTTGTNGCCGTTGTCACTTTTGTATCGTTGATTCTGATCTCGTGACGTACCGTTGCGTTAGATATCAAGACGTGTGACTTCAGATCAGTGCATCGCAGTGTAAGTATGCTCCTGTAAGCGAGTACATAATTGTTTGCTTGTCTCTACAAGGGTCCAGTCTAGACAGGGAATGGCGTACACCACCCATGATTGGTTGTGTGGTTCTGCGTGATCCTTGCCGTTGAACAGAATTGGTCGTTATGTTGATCTAGGTTTATGGGCAACAGTGACATGTAAAAGGCGAAGGATACGATCAACGGTTTTTGACACACCACGTGTGCATGGTAATAGGAGGTTTTATTCATCTCCTGGTTTTTGTTTCCCCTAAAACCTGGTTTAACAAAACTTTTGGGGCGTCTTGATAGTGGCAGTAGTCACTGGGATGGTTGCTGAGGGCATCTTGTGTAGTATATCAAGGCAGACCAAACCTGCTGCCCCTAACTGTAATTCCCCTTCCGATTGTCTTCCAGGCACAAACAACTGCAGGAAGACCTAAGCGAGATCGATGGGAATCAAAACGAGAATTGATACAGTTGTTGAAATGACTTATTGATTTTATTGATTTGCCAATATAACTGAATGGCACCCCCGCGAGTTGCGTTGAACCACTATAACTCCGTGCAGAAAAAAACTCTGTGCTTGCGATTCCCTATTCTGTGGTTCTGTATTTCCGAGCTGTGTGAACGCATTACGGGTGCTAACGAGAATACGATTCTCGGTCGTTGCCTCCAGATTGCGCAGGACGGGAGGTGAACTCGAATTGCTTCGATGGCGAACCGCAGCATACCACAGACTTGGCGACCCTACCAGGATGCACTGCACCGCAACACCGGGGTCTGGAACACTGAGGACAGTGTTCTTTCGTGGGGAGGGATAATGTAACGACTTTGATGACTTGCCATTCCGTTTGAGTGTGAGTCGTGTTCATGTCTCACTGGACCTTTTGGTTCATGGTGTCTGTATTTTCCTCTCTTTCAGATTGTCAGTTCGCCCTCTCCACGGAGAACATCCCGTCTGTCGACGGTACCAACCCACACCTAGACTCGGGCATCACAGTACAATTGTCTTCATGACAAAGAAACGGGTTCATCCCTTACCCCCGGTTGTAAAAAATGAAACTGACTTGAACGTGGACGGAATACTGCCACGTTGCCCTGGCCAAATTAGGTGAGTTTTCTCAGTAATTTACACCCGGAGTCTTGCCAACCAAAGCATCGAAGCGGTGTGTGTAAAATCCAAAATCCAGTGTGTGCGGTTCAACTGAGTCCAGTGTCCAAGTGTAACGACCTTGGTAACTTGCCATTCCGTTTGAGTGTGAGTCGTGTTCCTGTCTCACTGGACCTTTCGGTTCATGACGTCTGTATTTTCCTCTCTTTCAGATTGTCAGTTCGCCCTCTCCACGGAGAACATCCTGTCTGTCGACGGTACCAACCCACACCTAGACCCGAGCCATTTGCGGTTGTCTGGTATATCCGTTCACGGGGTACATCCTGTGGCACACACGAGCCAAACATTCCACAGATTTTCCCGTGTACCCACCAGGATCTGTGTAAGGACCTTAGTATCGCGACCGACGGGGTGAACGTCCGGGAATGCTTCTGGGGACAGGCGGCGAAATGCACGAACAAATGAGGCCAGGCATTCACCGGGTAGTTAAACGCGGGTTTGGAATTGCTGAACGAGTTCCGCTTCCTGGAGGCGGTCTGTGAGGCAGTCCTGTAGTTGTTGGAATGTCTCTGGGGTAATGGGTGAGTCAAGCACGCCCTCGTCTCGGACAAGGTCGTTGGCCTCGCCTTCTATGAGGGATAGGAGTAACATTTTGCGGTCAGGTGGTGGGAAAAGTTCGACATAGTCCTGGGCTACCCGAGCCAAACAATAGAAATCCTCACCCATGTGAAACTTTGCCGTGGGGAGGAACGGATTAAGTGAATTGCGTTCGTACAATTTCGAAGTGGATACCAGATGACAGAAGAGCAGGGAGACGTTGGACCAGTGTACCGAAGAGTGATGTAGAGTGTTCGGAGGCATCCTGTTCTTCGAAGTCACCTTTAGGATTATCAGGTATCCTGGCAGTCACCAAATCTGTGAGATGCTTGGCTCGTGTGTGCCACAGGATGTACCCCGTGAACGGATATACCAGACAACCGCAAATGGCTCGGGTCTAGGTGTGGGTTGGTACCGTCGACAGACAGGATGTTCTCCGTGGAGAAGGCGAACTGACAATCTGAAAGAGAGGAAAATACAGACGTCATGAACCGAAAGGTCCAGTGAGACAGGAACACGACTCACACTCAAACGGAATGGCAAGTTACCAAGGTCGTTACACTTGGACACTGGACCCAGTTGAACCGCACACACTGGATTTTGGATTTTACACACACCGCTTCGATGCTTTGGTTGGCAAGACTCCGGGTGTAAATTACTGAGAAAACTCACCTAATTTGGCCAGGGCAACGTGGCAGTATTCCGTCCACGTTCAAGTCAGTTTCATTTTTTACAACCGGGGGTAAGGGATGAACCCGTTTCTTTGTCATGAAGACAATTGTACTGTGATGCACATGTCACAAAGTCTGAATTCAGACGTACTTCCAGAGAGTACAGTTGGTTGCTCCCGAGCCCATCACCAATTAGCGGATAGGGCAACGGTTGTCATCTCGCAGCTAATCGTAAATAAGGTGTTTTTAGTTCCCTCTCCCTCTCACGAGATCGTCTGCCGGTTGGAAGGTATGGAGGATGCGCAAAGCGCCCTAGACAGACTAGCAAATTCTGTGGTTTTCGTTC